ATGACACCCTTTAAGATTTTGTTTCAGTTTTCTTGATGTATATGAAAGTGCCTTGTGTGAATTATTGCGTCCTAAACGCCCATTTGTGAAAATGACACCCTTTTAGATTTTGTATCTTTATTTGTCGTAATGTTATGTATGCTAATGATGTCTTCCGAATAGGCGTTTTGAGCAAAAAAACAAATTAACTCTTCCTGTTCGACAAATTGAAAGTTGATTATGCGAATCGCTTTTCGTCCATTGCGGAAAAATACACTGCCGTCTCCCATAGGAGTATGGGCCGTGTCTACATCTCAGTGCAACTAATCAATCCTTTCGGACCAATTATTGATCATTATCTTTGTAAACTATTGTCTCGCCAACTAGCTAATCAGACTTAAGTCCTCGAATATTATTATATACATTATATTGTAATGTGTAGAAAACCGGATACAATTATTAGATCATTTGCAAATGAATGTATTGATTTCACCAAGTCGAAAAAATTGGTTATATTGAGGGTTATTTGGGATTATTAATTAGTGTAATAAAACTCGTGAACATTATTATAGAAAATGTTAAAATTTTGAATTTTTTGGTTTTTATTCATATTTTGAAAACATGTTGACAAAATTACAATTAGATGATAACAACAACAATAATAATAATAAAAACTAGAGAAATAAACAAGTGAGCGATTAGATTGAAGAATGAATTTCTCTTTTTTTAGGAGATTTATGCTCTCTCCTATATTTGGATTTCAAGTAAGACATATGTCAAGAATCTCACGACTTTATCCTGCGAGATTCAATAACCAAACATTTTATTGTATTACTCAAACCATTTTGCACTACAAGTCGAACTCGAAGCTCGGTTATAGAACTTAACTAAAAAACTCTCATGGTAAATTATAATCATGTAGAATGTTTTGTATATGAAATGTAATAGAGATGTCATGTCTATGTAACTTTTTTACTACCCCTAGAATTTTAGAAATAATGCTCCTATTTTATATAATTCATGCACCCAAGATATTCTATTAATTAATTTATTTGCACAATAACCTTTCATGTTTCTATTTATAAACACAGGGGAGAATTGCAGCCACGATATCAAATCTTCCATTTTGTTGTCGACTTGATCCAAACTTTTTGTTGACGTCGAAAATTGTATAAACAAAATTCAAGTCAACTTCAAGTGTAAATAAAGATTTTTATTGATAATTACTTATAAACTACAAATGTTTTTATCAAATGAGATATTTGAAATATGAAGTTGTTAGGCTTTCTCTCCCTCCTTTCCCTAAGAATACCGTCCCCCTTTTTATAGGAAATGATGAGCGTGTATCTTTCATATTCATGTCTTGTCAACAACAATACCGAACTGGGGACTTGTGCCAATGTTTTAAGTCCTGATTGGTTGCTGTCAAATCAACATATAGTATCGAGTTGGGAAGGTATGTCAATGGCATATCCTGATTGGTTGTTGAGGTCAGCTCCATCAAGTTATCATGAAGCCATCTTACACGGGGTCCCCAACAATTGATGAATTGATTAGAGAATGAAACTATAGCATATAATTGGTGGAATTGGTGGGCGTTGACGTAAATTATTCCAAATGTCATTAATTGATTGAATGTTTTGACAGTGTGTAAGGAATTTACACTCATTATGTCTCCTCAAACCACGACGATCATAAGTACGAGTTGACCTAGCAAATTTGACTTTAATTTAGCATGAGCTAAGTGCATATAGCAAACGAACTTAATTAAGTCGCAGGTCGAATGTCAACACTTTTCATTTTGTCACCCATGGTACCATCCTTCTAAAAATTTGTACTTGGAAGTTCAAATATATGGAAACTATAAGTTCATCCATTAGTTGACCAAAAGTCAACAATTTGACCAACTTTAGACTAATTTTTAAAGAGTAAAAAGGTAAATTTACATTTTTCATATAAAAGAATTAAAATAGTTAAAGAAAAAAATCAAAATAAAAAAGTAATATTCTTCAAGTCACCCCACCCCCAACCCAAAACAAACTACCATCTCCACCGAGAATCACCACCACCAAAAATCGTTGGCAAACTGCCAACACCTCACTACTTTCCTCATCCGAAAAAGTTATCTTCTGTTGTCGCCTCCTTCTCTCCTGCCACGGTCTCCATAGCTGCGTATCACTGCAAACTACGACAACCAAGGCCGGCCCTGGCCCAAGACAAACTAGGCCATGGCCTTGGGCCTCATAATTTTGAGGGGCCTCAAGAAGGGAAAAAAGGGCCCTAAAAGCTGCCTCTAATTTGAATACCTTCCAAACAAAGCCTTTCTGGAACTGGCTTTCTTAATTTCTTTAAATTCTTTGCTCTTCTTAGTTTTCAATTTATATATATATATTTTTTGGGATCCTGTAGCGTAGGGGCAGTTATATTAGTTGTTTCTGTACTTCCTCGGTTCTTTATAATGATCTCGATTATTTTAAACTGTAAAGCTTTGATAAATTTCATTTTATGGATGTTAAGATCATACACAAGGAAATGCATATTCACAAGGTCGACCAAGCAATTTTTTTTGACCTGATACTAATGTAGATCTAAACAATTCCAAACAATATCCTGGGGTACTCCGTACTTACAAAAATACCCTTAAAATTATGGATGTTTTGAAAAATCATATGAAATGTTTTTAGGAAATAAAAAATACTATGTAAAATGAAAAGTGACACAATGTCACTTTTTTTAATAAAAATTATCACTTTTTACTATATTAAAAAAAGTGACACTCTCTCAAAAAATTATAAAAACTCAAAAAAAGTGACAAATACCAAAATAGTACCATCCATTTGTGCAGCACCAGTAATCATTTTCTTAAAATAATCAGCACATCCAGGCCAATTCACATGCTGATTATGTTAGGAAAATATAACTATTATTTCTTATCTTCTTAAAAAGTGACAAAAACTTAAAATGTGACAAAACCTAAAAAAAAGTGACACAATGTCACTTTTATAAAATTGATGAACAAGTATAACATCACTAGATGGTAATGCATAAAATTAAGTAAGTGACAGTGTGACACAATCTCACTTTTATCAAAAAGGTGATTTTGTTAGTAAAAAAAGTGATAAAAAATGTAACAGAAAATATATTAACTAGGATATAAACTTGGATTTAGAAGATACGGAGCCCTTGTTTGATTCCCATTTTTTTAAATACATTTTTATGTCTTCTTTTCAACCATATATTCTTAATAAAATAATATTACATGTAAATTCAAATTTTTTCCTTATTTTTTAATCACACATTTTGTATCAATCAACTATTCTAAAATGCATTCTATACAAAAAATAAAAATAAAAAAAAATAACGGAAAGTGAAAAAAGTGACAACGGGTGAAAAAAGTGACAAAAATATATGCAGAATATATTGTTTTTCTGATTGCCTAACTTTGATTTTTGTTTTCCAAACATTCTTAACAAATTTCACATTTGTGCTTTGATCAGTCCATTGAGGCAACTCCCAAACTCAATTCCTCCCATTTATATTTCCCAGATTTTGCACCGAAGACATGAGTAAAATTCACTTATTTTACTCTTGTTAAAAATGAATTCTTCAATTTACTTCATCATTATTTCTCAAATTTACCTACATCTACCTTCTTTATGAGTAAAGAGAAAAAATGGGTCCTAAAATTCACTGCTCTTTTTCACTCGCAAACATTCTTCAAAGTTCAACATGTAAATTGAACTCACAACAAAGCATACAATATACAAATTGAAGCTTCAAAATCAACTCCAACTTCACCAGCTCAAATTTTATGCAATCCTACCGTCATACCCAAGGCAAAGCAGATATGCCGACTGCTCAAATTAATCACCGCAAACCCAACCAACCAAAATCGAGTCTACTGTCGGCTACTCAGAGTAGCTTACTCTAATCGACATCATCACACACCAAAAAGTAGAAACCTGGAACTCGCCAAGGAGATGGTGGGGTACGTTTTCTCGCTCATGCAATGTGATTTTGTTGGTCATGATGCCAACTGCAAAGGCCATTGTAGACTTGGATTTTATCGGAATTGATGATCTCCAAAGAAGTGAAGTTGGAGGCTAAGTCTACAGAAAGCTTTGATTTAATAGAGCTCGTGGCTCCCAATATCATCACTATCTTCTTATTCTGACGAGTTCGAGTGGAGGCGGTTGTAATGGTGGTCATATGGGTTGTTCTCATAGAGGTTGAGCAACCCTATGGCAACTCGCATAGCTCTAGGAATATTTGTAATTAATACGTTGTTAAATATTTTAATTCACTAATAGGGTATTAATCAAATTTGTTAATTTTTTATGGTATTGAGCCTAATTTTCCCTAATATCTTCCAAACAAAGCCCAAGCCCAATAGAAAATATAAATCACAAGTTATTCTATATTACTTTTTTTACTTGATACTAATATAGAAACTTTTTCAAAACACAAGTATGATCTTGCTGTAAGGAAAGCAGACCTAATATCATTAAATTATTTTACTTTCACATGTTTATTAATTAAGAAATATACCACTTTGACAAAGGAAATCGAATACAATAACAACTTCCCTTCAAGCACAAAATTGCCCTTACTTCACAGTACAAAAAATAGGAAGAGGTAAAAAACTAAAAATTATTATATATTCTCTATGTTAGTAAGAAATATTTAATTTAATTTATGATTTTTACATTTGCATTCTTATATTTAATTCCTCAACGAAAAACTCAAACGTGTGTACCTATTCCTTTTGCATCTCAAAATGTTAGAATGTTAAATATTATACTTGTCGAATATCTCGAGTTATAAGATGAGTTTTATTTTGCTACTCTCTCTTGAATTACATGAAATATTTGTTTTAATATGATATGTTATTTGTTCAAATATTTAAGTAGTGTTACGACCATATTAAAAAAAATTACGTTTGAGGGCCTCAAAAATATTAATCGCCTAGAGCCTCCAAATTCTCGGGGCCGGCCCGGCGACAACTCCCAACACCAAAATCACTACACAACTGCCAATCGCCACAACTCACCAACACTTCCTCCTTCTTGGAGTCCTTTGAAGCCAATTATGTTCAATTCCACAAAGTTGAACTCTAAAATTTTTGAATCTGCAAAAATTGGACAAGCAAGAAATCGGACTAGACTGTCAAATCCATTCTCCCTCACTATATTCTGGATTTTGATTGAAGAGCACTATAAAGTGTAAGTTCGTTTTTTGTTTGTATGGCAACGGCGAAGAGTGGGGGGTTTTGAAAGCAATTCGGTGCTAGTGGCTAAGACCATGGAATTGAAATTGGAATTGCAGAAATTGGTCAAGGCAGGATTTTAACTTGGAGGCAATTAATAAAGCCCAACAAATCAGATTTGATTTTGTTCACATCATTTCAAACATTAAGGCCGTGTTTGACTGGCCACATTTTTCGGGAAAGTAGGAAAATATTTTCCACTTTCCACTTTTTTGGCTGTTTGATAGGCAAAATTTTTCACGGAAAATATTTTCGAATTTTCTCCACACGTGTGCAATTTTCGGGTTTTTGATGAAAATGTTTTCCCGCCTTTTTGGTGGGAANATTTTTTAATAAACAATTTTTTTCCTTTTTTTTTTTTGTACTTTTTGGCAATGGAAATAAATTTTATAACTAATTGTGGAAAAAAATATCACTTTAATGGACAATTTTCATGTAAAACAAAGCTAAACGAATAGAAAATTTAAAAATTTTCCGGGTGGAAAATTATACTAATCAAACACATTTGAAATCATTTTCCCTACAAAACATTTTCTAGACAAATCTTTCCCCTGTAAAACATTTTCTTTCTACTCATTTTCCACCCTTGCAATTTAACGCACCCTAATTAATATGTCTGTGTTTGGATTTGACAACTTGAGAAATTTTGTTACATTGTTTTGGTTTTGGCAGCTTGATGATTTTTTTTTCCTTCCTCTAGACATTGAACTTGATTGCAATTCGTTGAGGTTGCTAACCATGGTGTTGATTCCGAAGATGATAGCGGTGGTGGTGGACGGCGTGGGTGAGTGGCTGTGGCTAGGGTGGGTGGTTTTGGTTTTAAGGTGGGGTGAACGGTGTATTTCTTTTCTTCTTTAATTATTTTAAATGAAAAATGTAAACTTATCTTTTCACCCTTAAAAATTAGTCAAATTTTGGTCAAATCGTTGATTTTTGGTCAACTACATAGATAAACTAAGGGTGCGTTTAATTGCAATGGTGAAAAATTGATGAAAAGAAAATAAATTTCAGGGAAAATATTTGCCTAGAAATTTTTTTCTCGGGAATTGTCAATTAGCTGCGTTTGATTGGTATAATTTTTCACCTAAAAAATGTTGAAATTTTCCATCTTTTTGTGTTTGATCGGCTTTGTTTTCCATGGAAAATTATGATTTTTTCCATCTTTAACTGTTTGATAGGTTTTATTTTCCATGTAATTTTTTTTTCCAACAATTGGTGTTTTATAGCCATTTATAATGTCCAACAATCCATGAACAAAAGATAATGTGAAAAAATGGTTTAAAATTGAATAGTATAAAGAAAAATAATGTTTCACATGTGTAAGATTCTTTAGATAAGACACAAAGGTGGATTGCATTTTTTTCAATAATGGGTTTTCTTCGTATAAGAAAAATAATGTTTCACCCTAAACCATCTTTTCCAACTACGACTTAGTGGGTCTTTTTTTCAATATTGGAACCTTCTTGTAGAATACAAAAGAAACAACAACCCATATTGTTTCCCAAATTAATACCCATGGGGGAATAGACATCCCAAAGTTGCATGATATATTTCCATTACACATAAATTATCTAGGTTACAAAATCCATCAACAAAAAGAACAATTTTTCAAAAAATACATCCAACTCGAGGAAGACTACCAAAAACTATTCATCCAATATGTACAAAAATTGTCCGTTCACATGATTCTATGTATCTAGCGTAGCTTGCATTTCCAGTTGCTGCATCATTGCCACATATTGTCTCCATCTCATCATATCTTGGACAAAGTTTGGTCCTCCACTTCCCGAATTCTAGCTTTCCCTGCAAAGTAGAGATGAATGATTCAGCCACATGATGATTGTAAAATAACCCTTCAAAAGTTGGAAGTAGCATACATTTTTCATTA